GCTCGGGGGGGGGGGCTCCGTGCCCGAGGCTCGAGCGCCTAGGGCACGAATGACTCGAGCCGGCATCTCGATAACTCTGCGCGTCGATAGGACGAGGGGCGCTTTCTGGACGACGCTGGGGGTGAATCAACGCTCGTTGATCCGGAATGAATTAAACGAAAGGAACTAGGATATAGTTGCGGGTTTCAGCGAGGTGGTAATAAAAGTCGATAACCTACTCCATCCTCTTCTTGGTTCTTTCGGTAAAGTCACGTAGAATGGAAATAATAAAATAATAAAAATGAAACATAATAAAATAATTCTCACGACGTTTCGGCCACAACGCAAGCAGCCGTCCTCAGGTGAAGAACAGAGTCTGTCTTCTCGACAGACCTACGTGACTTTACCGAAAGAACCAAGAAGATGAATCCCTGCAGTCACGAAAGCTTTAAATCGAAACTACTCCATCCTGATAGTGGAAAGTTTCGACCAGAAAAAAATGACATTACGGAGGAGTGAGTTATTTTTTAACGGTTTTACTTAACTTGACTCCTCCGTTTGTCGTGGTCAAGTCTTGTAATCAAAATTTTGTCGACTTCCTGTTGTCCAATCAATTAAAAATTTTGCACACGTACTCAGATCCGGTGACAATGCATGCATCAATTAACAAATTAATTCGCTACTTCATGGGACCTCCTTTGCCAGTACCAAAATATACTGATAGGGTTTTTCCCCTTTTTTCTGGCAACAAAACTGACACCTTTTGCAAGGAATCATGCTTACATTAACCACAATACTTGCAGTCAAATGCAAACAAAAAACAATACTCTGATAATCTATGCATTGTCTTTGAAACTGATTGGTCCATACCAGATACAGCTTTCTTTAGAGCCAGGTCTCATATGGTGTTCGACCAGATTATTCGCTACTTTAAAGCAATTAACATTTTGTATGGACGCCTTATTATTTATATACAAATTTGTGTAGGTAAAATACACCACGGTCCCTAAACTCTCGAATTGCCTTCTCCGCGTGAACTAGTTACGGAAGTCATCAGTTAATTCAAGTAAGCGTTGATGTGGGAGCAGGTGCCGCTTCATTGACGTACTTCTCGACCGTGAGTTAAACGAAGTTGTTAATAAAACCGTTGTTTTTAAAAAAACGTCTTTAAGGAGTTTATTTTACTCCCCGGCATGAATTCAGTGAATGTTTTTTAGGATGCAAATACACATCCGATGCAGGATTGCTACCGTGATGAGTTGAGCTGATTACTGAAGAAAAGTAGACAACCTAATACATTGCAATCGTAAATTTTTTTCTATCAAACAGAAATGACAGATTATTGAGGAGTGGGTTTTTCTTTACTCTGCATAAATGAAGGACGTGTTAGGATACAAAGGTACTTCAGATGTAAGATTTTAACTGTGATTAGTCGGGAAGAAAAAATACAGGCACCAACCTTATTACAGTGGAAATCTTGTGGAATTTTAATTGTTCATGTGATACTTGTGTATTATGAAGATGCACCTGGGGGGTAACTGGGCCATAGTGATAGGCTCTGCCGGCCTCACCCTGCAGCCAATGGGACGTCGAGCCAGGGGCGTAGCCTGTGGCTGCATGGCAACATCTGGAAGGTTCCAGGGGCCGAGGCTGATGATTGGCTGCGTGGTATCACGTGGGCCAGGTGTTATAAGGGGTGGAGAGAGACAGCTCCGGCTCAGTGTGGAGAGGGGCTGAGGAGGAACCACGTCTGTGTCACCGGCATGCCAGCGACCACGTGGCGGGCGGGAGGCTGTCTCCGACACACACCGTCAACCAGCGGTGTGAGGGAGCGAGGCAGCGAGCAGACGCCACGCTCGGGGAACGGAGTAACGGGGAAAAGAGGAACCCAGCGTGTGAGGGAGCTGTGAATGAGGAACGAATAAAGAAAAGACAAAAGACACGGTCTCATCTGGAGCGGATTTATTACACTTGTGTAATGACATGAAGACACCTGCTGGCTGGGAAGCACTGGTTCGGGCAAGGTTAAGATAACATCCAATTGGAGAGGGAGAGGTATCTGGGGAAAAGGTAATAGGTGGGGTTGGCCGAGATGCTCCGGGAACCTGCTCGAAGGTTCCACGAGAGGGCGTGGCCGGAGGCGAGGCCTAGCCACGCCTGGGGAGATATAAGGGGGAGCGGACTCGGGGCTCAGGGTTCGTGTGTGGGGTCTTGGGTCTGGGCTGTGTCGCTGCTCGCTTCATCTCCCTCCGTCGTCCGGCCACGTGGAAGATCTCCTGCGGGGTTTCCATCGCCATCCTCGTCGCGCCGCCAGCCAGCGGCGTTACCGAGTGAGGACGATGGGACCATGCCGAGTGATCGGCTGTGTGTGGCCAGTAGAGACGTTGATATCTAAGTGTTGTACTCTGAATGAGAAAAATAAGTGTTGGCCTGTGTCGCGGAAGTCGCTCATTAAACTTGGATAGCACTACCTTGCAAGATCACATTGCCATCTTTTGAAAGAGTGAAGCAAATCATCTGGGGTTCGTCGTGAACAGAGATGAGGTTGAAGTTGACCCCCACAACACCCAAGAATGTATGAGAGGAGCCCAGTGCTTGACACGCAACCCGGGTGTTGTTGGAATTGGCCTCATGCCACAGTTCCCTCCTAAAACCTTTGATGGACATCGCCAAGCAATCGTACCACGACTCAAAACTAAAACATGAATCGATCGGGGGGAAGGGGGCGCCGGATAAAAAAAAAAACCGCTGGATTATCACTAATCATCACTATTTAAATAGCTTGTTTGACATTCTTGCATAAAATGTGTTTTTTAAATGTGTTTTCTGATTTGTGTTTTAAATGTGTTTACTCTGTGAAATTGGCATAAACTTGGAAGTGGGCAAAAAATATCCAACTAAATAAAAGTACCGTACTTACCACTCCAATCTCGAAGACTCTGCATGGAGTGATGTACGTAGCACTAATTTGCTCCTGTATTAACAACTTGTGTTTGACGATTTCTGGACTGATGCAGCTTTAGACCAGTGCTCCGGCGAACGCTGAATTGCACGCCCTTTTCGCCAGATCGCACTTTATATTTTCAGTTTTTATTTTCTGTAGTCATTCGTACTTGAAAATGTATATGCGTGCAGTATTTTCGCTGTTTAATTTGTTGTATGCAGCGTATAATGTACTGCATATAATATTTTACGCACACAATGCCCATCGCCGGATTGGTTACAGCGTTTGAAGCGGTTTTGCCGGATCCACCTGGGACCGCCGGAAAATGTTGGGAGTCGCCGGATAATCGCGCGATGCCAGATAATCGACAATCAACTGTATTATGATTGGTCACTCAAATTTCAATAGGTATTTGGCTTGCTGGACGCTGCGATGACGGGGTGTTAAATTCCTCACTTTGTATGCAGGAGTTCGTGGGCTCGATCCAGTCCCTGACGCCTGCTGTCAAAATTGAGTTTGCGTGCTCTCCCTGTGGTCGCGTGGATTTTTCTCTGTATTCTCTGGTTTTTAGGTACACATTTAGAAACATGCGTTTGGAGTATTTGGCTGCTATACATTTCCACGTGATATAATTTCTGGTCAGGTTGCTTCTGAAAGAGCTATACAACTCAGTGGGTCTTACCTGGTAAAATAAAAAATAGTGTAGTTTGTATGTATGTTGAACTTCGTGCCAATTGGAAGTGCGGGGGAAGGACAACAAGCTAAACACAAAAACTAAGTTCTAAAGACATGAGTTTTCCCAATATAGATTTAAAAGTTGATAGCTCTAGTGGTTTCCTAATATATGAAGAAAGAGCGTTCCAGATGGCCGCAGAAGCTGATCTGAAAGCGCACGATGCAGTGACCATCTTTGTTCGATGGCTAGCCAAAAGCCGCTGCGAGGTTGACTGGAGTTCACGTGCTGGCTTATGCTCATTGGCAAGATCAGCAAGGTATTGTGGTTAATTTGTGGCAAGCACTTTGTGTGTAATGAGCGTGACCTTATAATGTATTCGTTTGGCAACCAGAAGCCAATGCAGCTCAGTGAACACTGGACGGGCATGGTCAATATCGTCCAGTACCCGTCCCGACACGTGCCAGAAAATGGTGTACACGCTGCAGCTTGGTAATGTTTTTGCCAGACCTCCCATAGAGTAGTGAGTTGTAATTATCGAGTCTTGCCGATACCATGCTAATATTAGAAGCCATTTATTTTTAAAATGGATACTAGTGGAGATGTACTAGGAGGAATGTTGTCTCAGGTAAAGGATGCCAAAGAAAAAGCGATCGCCTATATGAAAAAACATATTCGGTGCGTTAGGAGTAGTTGTGTACTGTATTTCTGTTGAAATTTGGAACCATATATACATGGTAAAGGGTTCATTTGGTGCACTGGATTCTTTCAATGCCTTAAACGTTCAAGGTAGCCTGTGGGAGAGGTGACCCGTGACACTGAGGAACTTGCAGGAGTATGCATTTCACGTAGATGTGGGCAGCAGCATCAAAACATCAACTCTATGTTGCAGTGGTGATTGCAATACGAAACTCCCGTGATCAATGATTCGCGACAAAAATGAGGATGAAGAGATAAAGAATATGTATGTTGACCTTCATTCGCACCGTACGTGGCCAATAATTTTCAAAAAATTTTATACTCGCAAAAAGGTCCCAAAGATATAATTTACACTTATTTGCAGCCTTCACACACAACTGCCCGCATATGTTACCGTGTTACAGATTGCTCGTGGCGAGGGATTTGTTCCAAATGGTGCAAACAGCCGACCTCTCACACTGCAGGTGATCAGCAAGCGCCTGTTCCCATCCCCCGATACGTTCATTTCACTGCCCTCTTTTTATGATTTAAACGACTGTTGTGGCGCAGAAACTTGAGTCAACCGTGATGGTGGAGTGCAAATGGTGCCGCCTCTTGCTGTTCTCTACTGCCCAAACCCACACCCGTGTCAATCCCCCCCTTCCGCGACTGCCTGCAGATTCTGAAACTGGGGAGACCTGCACCACATTTGGAGCCTATGAAATGTGCGTGGAGAAGACTGTGGAGGCGACAGAGGGATGTTCTGCCACTCTTCCCTGCAGGTTCCGATTCCCGAGTTCTGAGAAACCCAGTAGAATTAGTGTCATATGGAGAATTGGAAACTTCCTCGGGGCTTCGATATTTGATAACACTGACGATGAGACCTTTGTCCAAGAGCTCTTCACAGACCGCCTCACCCTGGTGGGAAATCCCAACGAACGCGAGGCCTCTCTACAGATCAGAAGCGTGAGACGCAGCGACCAGGACAAGTACTACTGCCGAATAATGTTACACACGGAGTCACGGACAATCCCGTTTGAGACCCAGGATGGAACCAGTCTGGTAATAGGAGGTAAGAGCGGGGATTAAGAAATGATAATAAAAGTTTATATTTAAGATGAGTACAACACCCATCCGTCTGAGACTTCTATACAACAGTATAGTCTAACCCATTTTAACACGTAGGCTTTCGCGACCAATATCCATAATAGTAAGGGTTGTCACTTAAACAGAACGTGGCCAATTCGTCACGAGTACAGCACACCGGTGTATTGGAGAGCCAAGCCACAACATTTACAATCTGAGTACGACATAGAAGTGAACCAAGTCACACTTCTAAATCACTAATGTCCTTACACGTAAAAATGAGTAACAGTGTCTCGACAGATCACTGGAATATAATCGACACAATTACACAGCAATCAGCTGATAATATATTTAACAAAACTTACACTACCCAAATTAACACATCTGCTAGAAAAACTAACAAACAATTCTCAACTTCAAATGATCATTTCATAAACAAAACGGTTATCAACATGACTAACGTTGAATTATCCAGCGATATGGTTTCAGTCCTGTCTTAAGGTCTTAACTTTGCTGTTGCCCCACGTACAATCCCTGTCGATGAGATCATTGCTGAAGTGGAATCAGCAGTTTGACATCTCCCTCGTAATCAAGCTTAGATGACTAGGCACGAGGTTGACAAAATTATTGAGAACAGAAAAGTGCCAAAAACATATTAACTTCAGTGAAGCAAAATACTTAAGAGAAGTGAGAGCAGGGGAAGGGCAATGGCACCTGAGGACATGAGAGTAAGAGTCAGCATAGGTAGGCACGAGGAATACTGCGCTTCTGCAGCTCTTCCTACCGACATCTAGAATGATAAACTATTTCCTTAAAACTGTTTTTTGTGTTTAGATTGTTGTCCTTCCAGTGCACCTCTGATGAGCACGGTGGGCTACATAAGGTGCAAAATAAGTTCAACGTACATACAGGGAATAGATGTGACCTGAGAAGCCTAGGGGACATTTAGCCCAAGAGGTCAATGGGCATGGAAAAATAGAGGGGCGAACCGGTAGGATCATAGGGGAGGGGCTAGGGTAAGAACATAACGCTGAAGGGACAAGCGATGAGAGGTCTCGAGAGACAGCGATGTGAACTTGGTGGCGCTGTAGACGGTGTTGGCTCACACTGTTCTCTACGAGACAAACCACGGCTGCATCAATTCCACACTCCTGTCCATATCACCCACAGAAAATGTAGCTGGAGAGGCCTGCACCAACTCTCAAGGCTACGAGGTGTGCGTGTCGAGGACTGTGGAGGCCGTGGAGGGAGGTTCCGTCACTCTTCCCTGCAGATTCGCATTCCTGATGTCTGAAAAGCCGAGCAACATCAGTGTTATGTGGAGAATTGGAAACTTCATTGGGGTTTCCATCTTCGATAACACGAACAACCAAACCATTGTCCACGAGCTCTTTAGGAACCGCCTACGCCTGGTGGGAGATCTTCACAAACACAAGGCCTCGCTACAGATCACGGACGTGAGACGCAGCGACCAGAACACCTACTACTGCCGAATAATATTCCACACGGAGTCACACGATGCCCCATTTGAAATCACAAAAGGGACCCATCTGATGATACAAGGTAAGAAAGGACATTAACGAAATTACAAATACAGCCATTCATATTTGACTACTTTCAAATGTATTTGAGTACAAGTGCCATTAGTCTGAGTACGTCCAAAATTCCTATAATATCCCACTCACTGTTCAGATATTCTTTGTCAACGTGTTCAACATGTCCAGGATTCACTTGGTAACATATGTAGTTTCGATCCCTGTGTCAATCAGTAGCTGCGCTGTCAGCCCTAATAGCATGAGTTGTATTGTAGATGCTGACACTAGCATTTGGATGGTATGCAGATGCCAGGAATGGTGGTTCACATTGAGGCTATGGTGTGCGTTTCACATATACGCATGTATATTGAACTACTTTCGCACGATACGTAGCCAACCTGGCTAAACGGAGGTGCGAGAAAGGACAACAAACGAAATGCAAAAAGCACCTCTAAAGAAATTAGTTTTCAATTTAGTATAGTGGTGTTGTATATAGGAGTGTACAGTGTAGTGTATTGTACAGTAGAGTAGTGTATAGTGTCGTGAATTACGTATGTATACTGAACTTCTTTCGCATCGTACATAGCCAACTGTCGAATCGGAGCTGCGGGGGAAGGACAACTAAACACAACAACAAGCAGTTTTAAAGACATTATTTTTAAATCTAGATTATTTTAAACCGCACAGCTCTAGTGCAGTGGCGGCTCCTGCAAAATCTCTCAGGGGGGGCAAATGTCTGGATGATTAAGGTCCACCCATGCAATGAATAAATTAACAGCTTAAGCATGTAAAGGCAACTTCACTTCTTTAATATTAATGAAAAATAAAGTGACTCTTACAATACATCTTGTTTGTTTATATACTCACTATTAAAACAAACCACTCAAGTTTATTTTATTAAAGATTCCACTCGGTAGCGATAAATTATATTGTTGGATGAAACGTGCTTACGTATGATGACGTTAGCACGTATGATGACGTAAGCACGTTGGGGCTTGCCCTCCCGGAGCCATAGAGAATGCATGGGAGCGCCCCCGTTCGAAAAAAAACATCTTTGAATGTAAGTCTATGGGGCCACTTGGGGCGATTCTCAGCCGTAGCGAAATCGCCCCAAAAGAGGCGGTACTCCACAGAACGTGACATGACGCTGATTGGACTATATCCAGAGGCTGCAGTGACGGCTAGCGTGACTGTGGTTGAATGACATTGGTGGTGCGTCGCCCAATCGCCCTAATGAAGAAACCGCCCCTGCTCTAGTGGCTCCCTAATATCGGAAGGAAGAACGTTCCAGACAGCCGTAGAAGCGCATCTGAAAGCACGCGATGGCAGTGATCGTCTTTGTTCGATGGCGAGCCAAAAGCCACTGCTGTGAGGATTACCGGAGTTCGCATGATGATGGTTTATGCTCCTTGACGAGATGCAGCCATGTGCTCTGCTTACATGCCGTGAAGGTCTTCACTGGGAAGATCCTATGCAATCACAGATGCGAGTCGAGGAGGGTCAGAACGTTACATCAACAATATAACAAAAAACACGAGTGCAAAGTATAGAAAGGTTAAGCAAGTCACTAAATATAAATACATAAATATGAATACACCATATGAATACAAATCGCATAAGTACATCATTAAAACATAGTTTACACTTGTGTTGCGTGTATAACTTCGCGGAGACGTCTTCTGGAGGCAACGCGTTTATTACAATAACAACAGTTTCAGTAACACGAAGGGGTACAGCGCCTTCAACCCGATATCCTAAGGGAGGTACAGCCTCTCTTCTAGTGTGTCCTACAAACCCCGAGCTACGCTCCCACGGGTCCTCCGCTACGGGCGCTAAGGGAGGCTACACTGACCCGACCTAGCCAGGGTACGGGTCTCACCACTGGTCTGCTACAACCCGGCTCTGACAAGAGCCTCGGTTGAGGGTCCCAGGGTGCTGGCCTAGTCTTCAGGTCTTCCGACGTCTTTAGGTCTTGAGTTGGCGAACACTGCCGGTCCCGTTGAGAGGGCCGGCTTTTATCCCCAGGTCGGGGCTTACGCCGCCCCTAACCACACCCTCTCCAGAACTTTCCAGAAGGGTCTGGATAGGGTCTGGAATCAGCCGTTGGCCCCCATCCCCCCAGCTCCCACCCCTTGGGGGTCTGGGGTCTCTTCCTCCGGTCACGGGGCCCCCAGGGGGGGGGGGTTACCTTAGAATTTTTGGTGCTATTATAGAGGAGTTTAACACGTAGCCTTTCGCGATCAATGTTATCTATTCGAGGTTTTTTATGGGTTAGATCACGTAAATATAAATGTGTCATTAAACCCGCCACCACCCAACAATTGTAAATGTTGTAGTGGGTTTACCCTCCAACACACCGGTGTGCTGAGCGAGTAACTAATTGGCACGTTTTGTTTACGTGACAAACCTTACTCATTGGGTTTGTCGGGTGGTGGCAGGTTTAATGGCACATTTATATTTCCGTGATCAAACCCAAGCACCTCTATTATGGTTCAAGAGGCGTGTTCGTGCAGCCGAGCCACGTGGGTGGTGGACGTGTTCGGATACAACGGGGAGATCTACACCTCTCTCACACACTTCACCCCTCGAGTGCCATTTCCGAATTTCAAAGGTGTTCATTAACAGAACTTGTCTCCAACAATCTGTTCACACTATAGGAAATCTTTGTCTTCTTACACGCTTTTGTTTAACTCACTCTGTCTGTTGTTGTCGTATCCTCAAATCTTGTAACTCTATTTTAACCCACTTCCCAATGTGGTATCGACTGCAAACGTGGTATACTTATGTCATACTGATGACAATACCATATTCTATCATAATTTTTTTTAAACTATCTTTTTACACGCTTTCTATGAACTTACTCTGTTGTTGTTTCCTCAAATCTTGTAACTCTATTTTAATCCACTTCCCAATGTGGTATCCACTGTAAACTTGGTATACTTATGTCATACTGATGACAATACTATATTCTAAAAAAAAAGTATTCTTTAACTTCCATTTTTATATGTTATGTTTCGGCTTGGCTCTAATTGTCCACGTTCAACTGACGTTGGCTGTAAATCACCACGGTCCCTTACGTTATGGCAAGCTTTGCGGCCACTTCCTGGAGTTCTGCCGTTACGAGTAGTGTACATTTCATTAACGCGTGTTTAAACAAAAATTTAAATATTACTTATTATTTGCACGTGTCTCGTTCCTCGTCCCTCGTGTCACTGTCTGTGCATGTTTTTTATATCCGTCTATTTTTTTGCACAAATGGTGCAAGCTGCAATCTTCTCATGCCGCAATGTTACGTCCTGGTACAAGTGCCTGCCGTCAACATGTTTTTGTCCACTAGCTCTGCCTTAGATCAAAGTTGTATGGCTGTGCAGTGGCTGCAGCCACCCATATTGATGGTACTGTGGATAGCGAGGGCTCATGCTGTTATCATAACTGCAAATCATAGCTGTGTAGCAAGGCCGTAATTATAATATATATTTGTTGCATGTCGGGAAGTACGCTAAACATTTTGAACAGACACACATTCACAACTTTGCCTTTCATATATATGGAGATACTGGGGGGGACACATCCCCCCCAATGTTCAAATATGCTCAAAATGTCCCCCCAAATATATTGCTATAAAATAGATTTTTGTTGATATGATTGTGGTTATGGTTGTACTTTATTAATCCCTAATCTCTGCCATTACATACAAGAAAAGGTAAAAAAGAAAAAACAGAGCAATGTAATACAATACACTATTAGACATTATTGTAAGAAATAAATAAAAAGTGCATCCTATGTGTTAGTGGATTGATTTTATTTTAGGCAGGAAATGGCAGGAAATGAGTTTTCAAATTTAGATTTTTTTTCTGGAGTGGGACCGCCAGACCCCCTGGAAGATTTGGTCCCCCCCAATGTTGACTCCATGGCTACGGCCTTGCTGTGTAGTAACACCTGACATAGTACGTCTTTAATAAGAGTCTTTATTTCTTCCAGCATGAGACACACAGCTCTTCAAAGATTCCCTTTTCTCCAAGCGTCCCGAACTCTCTCAATTATCCTTAATAAACGCCTCCAGCCCCTTTGCCGAAAGTTCCTTGACCTTCCGCTTTCCTTCCAGCCAATCACCTTTCACTTTCCCTAATGGATTTCCAACCGTACTTCCTGTCAATCATTCTCCGTTTCCCGCTCTTTCTATTTGTATTTCTCCTCCAAATCCGTTCAATTCCATGACTCTAAACAATCTCCTTTCAGGCAAGTTAAGTAACCAATCAGAAGGCTTGTTTTACTTCCCGGACTGTTCGTGTGCACGCTGTGTCCAAAACGTCGTGTGAGTATTTTCGGTTGTGATTGAATCACTACGTCTGTGCCGATTGTACCCCTCCCCCATGCAGATGCTGGAGCTGGGGAGGACTGCACCAATAATGACGGATATGAGATGTGCATCGAAAAGACTGTGGAGGCCATGGTGGGCAGCTCCGCCTCTCTTCCGTGCAGATTCGCCTTCCTGAAATCTGAGAAGCCCAGCAAAGTCAGCGTCATATGGAGAATTGGAAACTATCTCGGGGATTCCATCTTCGACAACTCAGACAACCAGACCTTTGTCCATAAGCTTTTCGCAGACCGCCTGACCTTAATGGGAAACCCTGACAAATACGAGGCTTCTTTACAGATCAGTGGTGTAAGGCACAACGACCAGGATACGTACTACTGCCGAATAATAGTACACATGAAGTCAGGGGATATTAAATACCAGACCGTTACAGGGACCCGTCTGGTGATACAAGGTGAGAACGAGCATAACAAATATTACAACAGAAATGTAATCACGTGTTTTTTCAAAATCATATCAATATTTGGCCCATTACTTTAGTCCTCTGAACAATCTATGTCATGCAACTAAGTTGACACGAAAATGTTTGGGTTGGAATCCCAACCTAAACTGAATCCAGTGAGAATCCCGTGCCTATCTGCAAGGGGATACTAAATGAGTGAGGGCACTGCCTAGACTTCAACACCCACATCGCAGCATAGGCACTGGAGCTCAATGATTTGCAAGTTGAATCGACCCTTTGCCCCCCTCTGGCCACTTAAAATGGCGCCGCCATACACTTAACTGGAACTTGCACCAAAGACTCAACCCTTTTTTCCCTAACATGCTCAGATCAGATCAGAATGTTTATACTGCAAGAGGAATCCGATGAGCTATAAATCTCTTTTACACATGTCCAGTAGGGGAACGGGGTCAGAACGTGACAACTCACTAAATACCAAATCACGATAGGAGTGAAGAGTACAAGAAAGGTAAACAAATTACCCAACCACATACAAATGAAACGAAACTATCCCCATCTTACCAGGCAAAGCCCACTGAGGTATTAACTTATCTTTCAGAAGCGACCTGGCCACAAATGATAGATCAACAAATGTCCTTATCATTTGGATATTTATAGCAGCAAAATAATCTCAATAATATCAATGCATGTTTCTAAATGTGGAGGGAAACTCGGAGGGCCCGGATAAAAAATCCACGCGACCACGGGGAGAGAGACATGCAAACTACAAATATACTGGCGCCATAGTCGAGATCTATATCGGTCTTTTTTCCGAGCGACCTGGCTATCACAAACGATAGCTCAACAAAGTGGCTTATCACGTGGATATGTATAGCAGGCAAATACTCCGAATGCTTTATGTTGATTATAAATGAGAGAAAAACTGGAGGACCCTGAGAAAAATCCACTCGACCACAGGGAGATAGACATGCCAACTCCAAATATAAAGGCATTAGGGTAGGGATTGAACCCACGACCTGCTGGTGGTGTTGAGCGGCGATGTCTTATTTGGAAGCCGTGCGATAAACATTGTCACCTCTGCCATCGACGTTGGTGCGAAGGTCTCGAGTTTTGCATTGGTTCCAGGTTGATCAAACCCAGATGTCAGACCGGGAGAACGCGTTACTTTCAAGTAAGAAACAGCCGTCCTGATCATCACTATTTTAATGGCTAAGAACATAGCAAGTACTGGGCACAGACAGAGTTGACTAATTGATAGGTGGTTGGAGTGCAGCAGACCCTTCACGACGCGCCACGGAGCACGGGAGTCGCAAGCCAACTCACTAACGCACAGAGCACATAACTATCTGCGAGAATCAATAATAAGTTGGTTTGTCGATCTAGGGGTGGCACGGTAAGCGAGTCAGGCAGTCTCGAAACAAGTTTTCTTCCAAAGATGCTCCAGACTCCTCTGCTTCTACTTCGCAGTGATCGCCTCCGGTGACAGACAATTACTGCGCCGCTTTCCACATTCTCTGTGTGCTTGCTCGGATGGGCATGAGTACATCAAGAACAACAGTAATGTTAGTTTCTAAGCGAGCTGCAAATGAATCGACTGACGTTGATTGTTGATGAGTCGCTCATGACTTTCAAGCAGATGTCTTTGCGGTAAATCAGTGCGATCCTGCCACCATGCATGCTGCCACGGCCAGGCTTCCCACGACGGTGGTGATGGACCATGGCGTATCCGTTCGGTGCAGTCGAATCCACAATCGGTTGATCAGATCGTGCGTTGAGCAATCAAAGTTGAGGAGCCCTGGTCCAGGGTTTGGCTTGCTCGATGCCTGACATCAGCAGCAGTGGCAATGAAGCCACTCCTCTGTGAAGAAGAACTGACCAGATCTGCAGCCGTGTTGTTGTTTCTATTGTTGTTTCTATTGTTGCTGTTGTTACTTTTGCTTCTATTGTTGTTTCAGCTGTTGTTGTTGCTGTTGTTGCTGCCGTTGCTGCTATTTTTGTCGCTGTCGTTGCTTCTGTTGCTGCTGTTGTTGCTGCTGCTGTTGTTGTTTCTATTGTTGTTTATATTGTTGCTGTTGTAGTTTTTGCTTCTGTTGTTTCAGCTGTTGTTGCTGCTGTTGTTGCTGCTGTTGCAGTCGTTGCTGCTGTCGTTGCTGCTGCTGCTGTTGTTGTTGCTACTGTTGTTGCAGTTGCTGCTGCTGTTGTTGCTGCTGCTGTTATTGCTATTGTTGCTGCTGTTGTTGCTGTTATTGCTATTGCTTCTGCTGTTGTTGTTGCTGCTGTTGCTGTTATTGCTGCTGTTGTTGCTGTTATTGCTATTGCTTCTGCTGTTGTTGTTGCTGCTGTTTGTTGTTGATGCTGCTGCCCCAAACACCCAATTCTCTTCATTCATACTGATCTTTCTTCCAAAGTGGGTCTTAAAAATCCCGACCACCGCCCCTCGCATCTGGACATTACTGCCTAAGTACACAACGTTATTTATTACATCAACTTTCACTTTTCCTACTGTGACTTACGATCCTAGCACAGGAGCCCCATTTATAACTACCGCCATTAAAGTCGGGTTAAGTTAACTTCAGGCCCCATTAAGTTAACTTCAGGCCCCATTGTCCACCCTCGGTACCTAAGATGGCCAACATCTGCACAGCTCCTGTCAAGATCCTAGTCAACAAACCTGCATCTTCTGCATACTTTATTTACGTCACTTACATTTTTCCTTTATTATGGGTTCACTACTGTGCTAACTGCATCCACGGTGTTCGTAAATACATAGGCAAGCAGACCATCAAACAACGTAGGTGATAAATACATCTTTAATAAACACCCATGCTTAATATCAAACCATTCTGACGTCTCACCTTATGTTCATATACAGGTCTGCGTCCCATCAGGCACATTTTTTTAAGCAGCCGACTAATCTTCACTGAGGATGCCACAACAGCCCAGCAATTGATGATGACAGTTGGCAGTCAGAGGCTGTATGGGCATCATTTAGCGCATTCCAGCAGGCCATTCCCATATTCCTCTCGTAATTGCTCGACAGCGCTTCCAGCTAAGCCACCTATGCAAAACTAGCTACTACTGGCCATGACTAATTAGAGAATCTATCAAAATTGAAAGAAATCAAAATAACTCTTTGGTTCTTTCGGTAAAGTCACGTAGAAAGAACTACACGTGTCTGTCACTCTATGTGTGTGTGCATGCCAATGTGTCTGCGACACAGCAACAGTGCCTGTTGCTGTGTCCATGAAGTGTCACAAGTGTCTGTGTATGGGCGTCAGGCTTTTGTGCAACTACAAACCATTAAGCTCTCATGCTGCAAACTTGTCATGAGAAAACGCTTGCACCAATCCAAAATATAAATTTATTTTTCCACTGCCTCTGCCTTAGCAAAATGTATATTGTGGTGTGTGACTGCGCAGAGGCTTAAGTCACCCGTGCTGGTGGAGCAGTAGACGGTGTTGGCTCTATTAACTAGCGCACAACCCTCAACTGTGCCAATCCCACCATCCTGCCACCCACAGATGCTGCGGTTGGGGAGGTCTGCAGCAACTCTCAAGGATATCAGCTGTGCGTAACAAAGGCTGTGGAGGCTGTGGAGGGAGGCTCAGCCAATCTTACCTGCAGATTCGCGTTCCCGGAATCTAAGAAGCCGAGCAGCATCAGTGTCATATGGAGAATTGGAAACTTTCTCGGGCATTCCATCTTCGAGAATACAGACAACCGGACCTTTGTCCACGAGCTCTTCACGAACCGCCTGACCCTGATGGGGAATCCTGACAAAGGCGATGCTTCGATACAGATTAGGGAAGTCAGGCGCAGCGACCAGAACATGTACTACTGTCGAATAATGTTATACACCGAGTCACAAGAAATGCCGTTTGAAATCACGAAAGGGACCAATCTAATCATACAAGGTAAGAACTGGCATGAACACCTATGAATACAGATGATTTGATCATTCCTTTTGAGATCATGGAAGGAACCGATTTTGTGATACAATGTAAAACCAGGATTAACACATTTATACGATACTGAAATATTGAAAACCCATTGTTTTCAGATGAGTCTTCAAAGGAGCCGTATAGTCTGAGCCGTGTTTCTGAGCTGGATAGCAGCATTGGGTCTTGGTGCTGACCCACGGATCGGGTTTGCTGGACTCGTGAGAAAACAGCTGTCAGTGCCCAGGCTTAAGAATTGATTGCATGGTATTAGCAGTGGTCCATTGAAGGTTGCATGATAATTTGTGTGCACAATGCAATCAGCAGGAGTTGAAGGCTCTGCTGTTTACCCTGGAGCATGTTACTAAAAGAGGTGGGGCCTTTCGATTTAAATCTTTCGTGACTGCAGGGATACATCTTCTTGGCCTTACTATCAGCTCCAACACAACTAAGCACCTGCCTGCGTATTTTGTGTCATCAAACACTCCACCCCCTGAACTCCCCATTAGTGATGAGGTAATTGTGGAAAGCATGGAGAGGTTTCCATTCCCGGGCAGCATGGTTATGACCAGCTCCAGTTTGACAGCACAAGTCTCATTCCGAATCAGTCGAGCAGCATTCTTTTCATTGGCTGTGTAATGCTGCATAAAGCTACCTTTTATGTCACTCCACACAAAGTTTCAGGTATTCTCGGCCACGATCATGCCCTCTATTATCTATGCTTGCAAAGCATGTACCCCCTAATGGAACATCTGCGCCAGATATAAACATTCAGGCTGTCCTGTCTACGATCTATCCTGGGTGTAACAATCCATTCGGTGAGCTCCTCTGGCAAGTAAAGCTGTGTTGGCTGGATCATGTAGCCTGCATGCCCAAACAGCTTTTGTTTGGTCGGGTAAAGGGGGCTAAATGAGCACGGCATGGGCGAGAGAAGAAATGGACTGATGTGGTGCAAGAGATATGGAATTGAATAGACTTGTCAATGACCGGTACCAGCGATGTCAAGATTGGCCTCTGTGGAGGAGGCTCGTGAAGGACGCTACTAGGCAGTTGCAGAGAGTCGGCCTCCAGCAACAACGGAGGGCAGAGGAGCGACGCTCACAACAACGAGCAGAGTGCCAGGTGGCTAAAACACTGCAAGTTAGCACAGTAGGGGCACAGGTGGTGCATCTGCCAGTCGTCTCAGTCTATGGCACCTGGGTCTGTCCAATGACCTCCTGCCAGCGCACCTCAACACTTCACGTGGCCTTAGAGTGCATAGCCTGGCACAAGCGCCGTGGTGACATCACCGCCACTTATTGGCGAATGGCGGTTGATGTTGTCTGTGTTGTCTAGCAAGCAAGTGTCACCCGTGTACTTGCTTTGATCATTCAGAGCTCACCGTGCCCTAAACCTAATCTTTCTCATCCTTCTCATGAGTGGGATCAAAACGAACCCACTTTCATGCTGTAATCTCACGTAATACTATACAAACTATAAACTTTTTTTATTTTATTAGGTAAGGCACACTGAGCTATAGAGCTCTTTTTCAGTAGCGACCTGGCCACAAATGACAGCTAAACAAAGTGGCGTATCATGACGTGGAAATATATTGCCGGCAAATACAGTACTCGAAACGCGTGTTTCTAAATGTGGAAGAAAAAACCGGAGGCCATGGAGAAAAATCCCACGTGTTCACGGGGACAGAGAGACATGCAAACTCCAAATATAAAGCAGGCGTCAGGGTCGGGATCGAACCCACGACCTCCTGTATACCAGGCGAGGTAGTTAACATCTCTCCACTGCGGCGCTCCTTGTGACATCATTACGATGCACCTGCCAATGACCCCCCGAATGTATCTTTTTCCACTTCCTCTGAATATCTTCTTCCAGTCTAAATATATATTCTGATTCTGACTGTCCAGTCACGTGTGGCTGTGCAGAGGCTTGAGTCACCTGTGCTGGTGAAAACGCTGCTCTCTACCACACAACCCGTGGATGTGTTAATTCCGCCTTCCTCCCTGTCATCCGCAGATGCTGGAATTGGGGAGATCTGCAGCAGCTCGAACAGCTACGAGGTGTGCGTAGAGAGGGCTGTGGAGGCTGTGGAGGGAGGCTCCACCACTCTTCCCTGCAGATTCGCCTTCCCTGAATCCGAGAAGCCGAGCAGCATCAGTGTCATATGGAGAATTGGAACATTTCTCAGGGATTCTATCTTCGAAAGGACGGACAACCAGACCCATGTCCACGAGCTCTTCACGAACCGTCCTGAACCTGATGGGGAATCCTGACAAAGGCGAGGCGTCTCTACAGATCAATGGCGTGAGGCACAGCGACCAGAATACGTACTCCTGCCGAATCATATTACACATGGAGTCGCGGAAAATTCCGTTTGAGGTCTTGGAAGGAACCAATTTGGTGATACAAGGTAAGGTCAGGGGTTTACAATTTTTTGGTCACAATACTGAAATGTGACCTGTCCTGTTAAAATTCAGATGAGTGCGAGGTCCATCATTCTGAGAGCCCCAAGCTACTCGATGGTCTGACCATATTTTTGATTACAGTGAGTATTGGTACTGAGCCACCTATCAGGGAAATACACGGGCTGAGGAATGGTGTTTGTGGTACTACTGGTGAACGGTGGAAGGTGAGAAAAGTTAAATGAATGCTGCGTGTTGCATGGTGTGTGCTGTCATTCCAACTGACTGGAGGTAGAGCCTTATGGATCGTCTTTGCGAATGCAGATGAGTTGGATTGCATATCCTCCACAGCTATGTAGCATCTGGAGATGTGACTGTATTCATAGACTATTCATATCCATGCCCCGGTGCTGGTAAAATGTACCCTCGTTTCCAGAAGCCACCATCCGAAATATGACCTTTGTCACGACCGACTTGAACCACTCAGTACACGTCATGCACAACAACTCACCCCACGACATCGCCATTCAAAATCAATGACTTAACAGTGGTCAAAATGTCTACACGCCTTCATGGAGTGGTCATGTCCAGCACTAGCACCGTCGGCACCACCCTACCATTCATATTGGAAGCTTCAATCGCCACCACACCTTGTGGGGCTATAATGTCAATTATTAAAGAGGTGAACAACTGACATCATGCACAGCAGCATAAGACAAGCACGTGCTCTATAACGAAAAAGCCAGCTGAACGTTCAAATCAGCTGAAAGGAAAAACATCGCAAAAGGCTTTAGAAAAGCCTTCAAACCCCGATGGTCTCCATAAAGTGAACAACCTTTCGACAATTCAATGCTGATCAGAAACAGGGGACCGCAAGCGTGTGCTTAAGCCATTAGACTTGGCAAGACGACAAAGGTGGCGTGAAACAGTCGAGGCACTAACATCAAAATAAGAGCAGACAAGCCGGATACCTCCTAAGGCTACTGGGAGAAACGGCGACACCAGCTTACAAACCTCCCCAATTCCACCCTAACGACGTTGCTGATCGACAAAAAAACATAATACATAATCTTGACTTTAAACGTAGTAGTTTTTTTGTTATTTTCTTTGAAGCTATCGACGTGCTTTTAGCGAAAGACCCAAAGAATATAATACGTTATGTTTACAAAAAAACTCTCACGCACTCTCTACTGCTGCCCAACAAAGTCCACATTCCATGGTCCTTTCTCAATGGAGGAAGCAGACGCTGGTATTGTCCAGGTGAAATGCAGGAAGGTCACAGGGGGATTTATCTGCAATTCATCAAGAGATTGGGACCACGAGCAGAAAAATGGCTAGCCACTTTCCTCACGGACGCCCAATCCGCAGGCGTGGTGCCAAGAGAGTGGAAAGTGGCTAAGACTAAAGCCATCACTCTTTGGTTATTCTGGTAAAGTCACGTAGAAATAAATTAAATTAAATAATAATAGAATACGACGTTTCGATTGCAACACAAGCAATTGTCATCAAGTACGAATGAATGAGAAAACAAACATAGTAAACTTAGAAATGTAATGCAATAAAACACAGAGGGTCGGCTAATATAACAGTCAACACCCTACCTGGTTGATCACGTTCTTCAAAGATCGCTAAATTTGAGAGAGGGACAAAATACAGACACGGAGACACATAGACAGATACACAGTCACGAAAGCTTTGGAAACTAAAGCCATCCTTAAATCTGGCAAAGACGCATCAGATGCGAACAGCTGCCACTTGATTTCCATCTTCAGTGCCTGCTACAAGAAAATAGAATGACTCCTGCTTGAAAGGCGAAAGCCTACGCTTGCTTCAACAAAATAAGGTCATCCTCTGATTGTTTTCTTATTCTCCCATAGACGCCGGTCTACCCAGCGAGGAACCATCCCAATGCGTCCACACCTTGGCCCTTGCCTTGCTGACCACCATCACCTTGCTGCTCATCTGCGCCAACTTCATAATCGCCATTGTGTTCGTGCGAGGGTTTGTAACCCGAGACACACTTGATGAGGTTTAATAACTTATCCACTAAAACTGGTAAAAAAAAAGTGACGTTGTGAGTTTATCTTCTAATAGTGTGCTTTTGTGGGTGGGTGCACCTCCTGTTTCCTCCCAGTAACTTTGTGCTACCTCTTCGCATATCCGTAAGTGGCGTGCATGGTGTCATCTTTATGAGAATCATCTGCAATCGATCTCTTCCACTCTGTCAGCTTTTACATCATGGCAGGACCACACTTGGGAGTGGAGCCGTTCCACGCTGCAACGCACACAAATATAGCATGCAGATTGTTTACCCAGCAACCACGAATTATGCAACATGTTGAATACATTTTTTGCGCGCCATACAAGATTTAGTTCTGAATAAAGTTCACGGACTTAACATGAGACATGCACGTTCAAGGGTGAAAGTATAATCAAGTGACATATAAAGGTCATCCTCTGACTGTTCTCTCTAATCTCCCATAGGCGCCTGTCGATTCAGCACCACGACATCTGGCGAGGAACCATCCCAGCTGCTTACTGAATGCGTCCACGCCTTGGCCCTTGCCCCACGAGCCACCATCGCCTCACCGCTGATCTGCGCCAACTGCATCATCGCCGTTGTGTTCTTTACGAGGGCATGGGACCCAAGGCGCACTGTCACGTCAGCCATCACACACAACACCCCCCTATACTTTTTTAAACAATGGCACCTCCCATATTGTTCATTATTTTCCTCCAGTCTACAATATTCAATAATTTTTCCACTGTTGGCATCCACTCCTGGACTTTTTTTCCTTCAAATGTTGTATTGCTTTTTCTACTTCATACAATGTTTTCCTTTTCATCATCTCTCAGTGGTGGGGGCATCGTTTCTAGTTCATCTCGCAGTTCTTTGTTCTCTTGATCTGTATCCCTGTGTAATAAACCTTCTCGAGACGGCTTCTGGAATCAGTCCTTTATTTTCCACTTCCACAGTTACACACACTTCCCGTTGCTGGCAGGCAACGGGAAGCGGGCAGACAGCCAGCGAAGTCGCACCGCGCACGTGGCACCCAGAGCCCCGTACGCGCGTGGCTCCTGCTCTCTTCGTTCCCAGGTCTGCTCCCGACTCCTCCGTCTCTCCTCCTCTTAACCCCTGGGTCACGTGGTACGCCTAAGCCAATCCTCATCCTCAGTAGTCAGCGTCGAACGCTCCAGATCACTCCCCATCAACTCCCGGGACCACGCCTCTGATCCGGCTTCCCATTAGCTGAGGCCAAGATCGGCCAAGCCAATCACCCTAGCTAACATGCCGTGATGACGCCGAGGCCATGCTCCCGGGCTCTCCCCTCATTGGCTACAAAACGGGACCGGCAAGCCGATCGCCACGTGAGCCATACATGGCTCTTATTACATCACCCCCCCCCCCCGCCCCGGTGAAAAAAATCAGCCGTCTCGGCTGGGAAAAGGGTGATTAACCGATTCCATAAAATTGCTTATTAGGGAGCCAAGGCGCATTTAACAATGAAGGGTGAAACGGCGTCAATGCGCCGAACAACACTTAAAAACATAATCACCCATGAACAACCAGACATACATTAGGGCGCCCCTGCAGCGCGGTAACGACAGGGAAGGGACAGCAAGACAATCAGACGCTAACGAAACGGGAGAGATTTAGATCGTGTACGTGACGCTGGACCCTCTCCGCTTCCTGCGCACGGTCGCCTTGTCCCCGGTTCGACAGGAGGTGGTAGGCGTGAAGAAGAAGATTGTTCGTTTTCGGTCATGTCCAGGGCAGGTCCCGTTGGAGGGGGGACAGCGGGGGCTTCCTCAGCCCTCAAAACCTGTTCATCTGCAGGAGGCACAACACAGTCCCACTGGGGATCAACGGGCGAGGCAAGCGGCGTATTCGGCACAGCAGATCCCGGCATGTCAAGAAGTGGAGATGAGGGATCAACACGTGTACTAACGTAGGGTTTAAGTCGCGACGAATGGACGTACCACCGACGTTTTCCGTACTGGACGCGAACACTCTGTGGATTCCGAATGTCCACCAACGTCACAGGCCCCCGCCACGGCCTGTGCAGTTTAGGGGATGTGCCCACCGGCACCTGATGGCAGTGGAGCCATGCCAGGTCGCCCACCGACCAGGGCATATGAGTACGCGATCGACGCGCATACCTCTCGTTCCTTGCCTGCGTACGGGCCGTCGCACATCTGGCGGCCTCTCGCGCCTCTGTAACCCATTCAAGCGAGTCCCGCACGTGATCAGGCAAGGAACGGGACGGTTGTTTACTCGGCGTACCCAGTTGCACATCAATGGGTGGAACGTTCTCATGGCCATACATCAGAAAAAATGGTGAATATCCCGTGGACGCGTGTGGAACCATGCGGTATGCCGCTAAGACGCCCGGTATGTGCAAGTCCCAATCGGTTTGCTTTTCACTCACTGTGTGACAAAGCATAGCCGAGAGGGTGCAGTTGAATCGTTCCACCATGCCATCTGTTTGCGGATGGTACGGGGAAGTGCGGACCTTCTTTGTGCCCAGCGCCTCACAAACCTCCTTGAGCAATTTGGAGGAGAAGTTGCGTCCCTGATCTGTGAGCAACCTCTCGGGTGCCCCCTTATCCATGACGTACCCGTTCAAGAAAGCATCGGTGATGGATGCGGCCGTTTGGTCGGGCAGAGGCCAGGCCATAGGCCATCGAGAAAAATATTCTACTCCGACCAGAAGGTATTTATTGCCCCTAGCCGAAGGAGGGAACGGGCCGAGAATGTCCAGAGCAACCAATTCGTTGATGCGGGACACCTCAATGGAACGTAATGGCGGCACATACTGTTTCCGAGGCGGTTTCCTCTTCGCACAATCATGGCATGAGCGGACAAAGTCATTAACGTCTGCCGTCATGCCGGGCCAGAAGAAATCCTTTTGCATCACGGCCAAAGTCTTCTGCACGCCGAAGTGCATCAATTTATCAGCGTGCAGAGCGCGAAGCAGGTCATAGCGAAGGGAAGTAGGCACGACCAAGCGTGGTCGGTCAGGCAACCCGTCGGTACACATCAATAGTCCAGCCTGGCCTCGGAACATCCGCCACTTCCATCCCGCCAACTGAGCTTTTTGTTTCCCGATCAATTTCCGCAACGGAGCCAGCGAGGTATCGGCCTCCTGCTCGCGTAGCCAGACCGAGTGCGGCAGCTGTAGGATATCATCAGTGTCCACTGACACCTCCTGGTCGTCCTCGTTCGCTATCGCCCCCATAACCGGACAGGGCGAGGTGAGCGGCGCCGCGCAGCGGTGCATACCCGTCAGAGAAGTGCACGGGGGAACGGGTGGCAGCCTGGAGAGCGCGTCCGCATTAGCGTGGCGGGCCCCCTTACGGTACGTAATATCGAAGGAAAATTCCTGTAATGATTCCAACCACCGAGCCAATTGGCCTGACGGTTGGTCCAATTTTAAAGAGTATTGCAAAGCCGCGTGATCAGTGCGAACGAGGAATTTCCTTCCCTACAGGTACGGCCGGTACAGGCGGACAAAATGCACAATTGCCAAAAGTTCCCGCCTCGTCACGCAATATCGTGTTTCTGCAGGGGACAGAACCCTGCTGCCGTACTCAACCACTCGCTCAACCCCGTCTTTACGTTGTGATAAAACGGCCCCGATGTCGATATCGCTAGCATCCGTGTCAAGGATGAACGGCTGGGAAAAGTCCGGGTAATCGAGCGTAGGCACCGTGGCGAGGTGATCCCGAAGCGAGTGAAAAGAGCTTTGCTCCTCCGGGCCCCATTTAAACCTTTGATTTTTGCCCGTCAGAACATGCAATGGTTTAGCCAATGTTGCAAAGTTCTTAACGAAGCGGCGATAATAGGATGCGAACCCAATAAACCGCCGAACATCGCCCACCGAAGTGGGTGTGGGCCACTCTCGGACACATTGCGTTTTCTGAGGGTCAGTGGACACGCCCTCCGAACTGACGATATGACCCAAGTAACGGACGGAGTGTTGCAAAAGGTGGCATTTCTTAGGTTTAAACTTTAGGTCAGCCGACCCCATCCTTTGAAAAACCGTCTCCAGGCGTTGGAGGTGTTCCTCGAACGTGCGGCTAAAAACGATATCGTCCAAATATATGAGGCACGTTTCCCACTGTAATCCAGCCAGTACCAATTCCATGAGTCGTTGAAACGTCGCCGGAGCCGCATTCAAGCCCATAGGCAACCGATTAAACTCAAAGAGACCTTGCGGCGTGCGAAATGCCGTCTTGGGTTTTGACGCGTCATCGAGGGGAAGCTGCCAAAAGCCCGAGGACAGATCGAGGGTGGAAAAGAATTTAGCACCCGATAAAGCGTCCAATGAGTCATCCATCCTTGGTAAAGGGTACGTGTCTGCCACGGAAATCTAATTTAACCGGCGGAAATCTACACAAAACCTTGTCCCACCATCCTTTTTCTTAACCAGAACCACGGGCGCACCCCAAGGGCTGTTGGACGGCGAAATAATATCCGCCGCCAACATCTCGTCTACTGCGCCGCGCACATGTTCCCTTTCTGCCGGACTCATGCGATGCGGATGCATACAGATGGGAGGTGTCGCACCGGTGTCAATATGGTGTGACAAAAGTGACATGCGGCCGAGATCCAAGTCATTTTTGCTGAAAACATCAGCGTACCATAACAATAACGAATGCAAAGCAGTTCTTTGCTCGTTCGACAAGGATGAATTTTCCCCGCAACAAGTCCGCGATCCACCGTTCCTGTGAACGATCGCGTGGAGGTCCACCAGTGGGTATTCGGGCGTGCGGCTTTTCGTCAAAAGTGGCGAAATCGGTAGTGGCATGAGCCAACACCGATCCCTCCAGGACAACAACCCGGTCCGGCCCCCCATTCAACACCTGTATGAACGGTGCCTGACCTGGCCGTACGATCGTTTGGGCCGCCGCCAAGGAAAAAGATTTAGCCACCGAATTAGATGGGGATAATAGCACGCCCATTGCACCCTTTTTAACTTGAAGGGGTTTC